TCTCCTCGGAGGCGTGGGTTCGAATCCCAACTCTGCCGAGGTCCTCTTCTTGCTTCGATTTCATTTCCTACCCTTGCTTCATTTTCATAATAAATGTCATGGATGGCGAATGATATTTCTAAGTATTGGCGTAAGCGCATCAGCGGTAGCGTGGCCGAGCGGTCTAAGGCGCTGGTTTAAGGCACCAGTCTCTTCGGAGGCGTGGGTTCGAATCCCACCGCTGCCAGAGACCTATTTTTGCTTCATTTTCATACTAAATGTCAATGAAGGCGAAAGACATTTCTGGATATTGACATAAAAGAATAAGCGGAAGCGTTGTCGAACGGTCTAAGGCTCTGGTTTAAGTCACCAGTCTCCTCGGAGGCGTGGGTTCGAATCCCATCGCTGCCGAAGTTCTCTTCTTGCTTCGATTTCATTTCCTACTCTAGCTTGATTTTCATAATAAATGTCATGGATGGCGAATGATATTTCTAAGTATTGGCGTAAGCGCAAAAGCGGTAGCGTGGCCCAGCGGTCTAAGGCACAGGTGTAATTCACAGGTCTCTTCGGAGACTTTGTTTCGAATCACACCCCTGCCAGAGACCTCTTTTTTCTTCATTTTCATACTAAATATCATGGAAGGCGAATGATATTTCTGAAAATTCGCATACGAGCATCAGCGGTAGCGTGGCCGAGCTGTTTAAGGCGCTGGTTTAAGGCAGCAATCTCCTCGGAGGCGTGGGTTCGAATCCCACCGCTGCCAGCTTCCTCTTTCTACTGCGATTTCATTTCCTACTCTTGCTTCATTTTCATAATAAATGTCATGAATGGCGAATGATATTTCTAAGTATTGGCGTAAGCGCATCAGCGGTAGCGTGGCCAAACGGTCTAAGGCGCTGGTTTAAGGCACCAGTCTTCTCGGAGGCGTGGGTTCGAATCCCACCGCTGCCAGCGTCCTCTTTTTGCTTCGATTTCATTTCCTACACTTGCTTCATTTTCATACTAAATATCATGGATAGCGAATGATATTTCTGGATAATGGCATACGAGCATCAGCGGTAGCGTGGCCGAGCGGTCTAAGGCGCTG